ATTCAACAAAAATAACGACAGTGTGGTATTGTGTCTATAACACAGGTCGAAGTAAAATGGGGAGACCAGCACGGGGCCTGGGAAGAGAGAAACCGCGGGTTCTTGTCCCACGTGTGAATCGTGGAACCCTGTGGAAGGTCCACTGCAGGGACTGAAGATGCCTCCTATAGACCCAGGTGACCACTGAAATAAAACGAAGGGTCACAGCAGACAAGCAAACACAGGAGATGACATGGAATCAAGAGAAAGCGCTCGGGCCGGGCGCGGTGGCTCACGCCTGTCATCCTGGCACTCTGGGAGGCCGAGGCGGGCGGATTGCTGGAGGTCAGGAGTTCGAGACCAGACTGAGCAAGAGCGAGACCCCATCTCTACTATACATAGAAAGAAATTAATTGGCCAACTAATATATAGAGAAAAAATTAGCCGGGCGTGGTGGCGCATGCCTGTAGTCCCAGCTACTCGGGAGGCTGAGGCAGGAGGATCGCTTGAGCCCAGGAGTTTGAGGTTGCTGTGAGCTAGGCTGACGCCACGGCACTCACTCTAGCCTGGGCAACAAAGCGAGACTCTGTCTCAAAAAAAAAAAAAAAGGAGAAAGAGCTCCATCAGTCCAAAAGAAGGCTGAGGGAAGGAAAAGGGACACAAGGAACAGATGGAAGAAGCAAAACAAACGGCAGGACGGCAGCTCTCACCTTCGCCGCCAGGCCGGTAACTGCGCTGGGTGTAAACATTCCAATAGAAAGATACGATTGTCCAGCAAGCTCCCTCTGTAAACTGCCTAGAGATCCTGTAAATATAAAAGGCACAAAGAAGTTACCGAAAGTAAAAGGATAGAAAAAGTCACGGCAGGCTGACACAAGAAAGGCAGTCTGGCAATATTCGTATCGAAGTGGATTTTAGAGCAAGAAATATCACCAAGGATAAAGACAGCGATTTCATATGCGGTTTGGTACAAGAACAAGACGTAGCAGACAGTAGATAGATCAGCAGGGTGACTACGACTCACAATAATCCATCGCATATTTCAAAATAGCCAGAAGAGGCCAGGCGCGGTGGCTCACGCCTGTAATTCCAGCACTCTTGGAGGCCAAGGTGGACGGATTGCTCAAGGTCAGGAGTTCGAAACCAGCCTGAGCAAGAGCGAGACCCACCTCTACTAAAAAAAATAGAAAGAAACTAATTGGCCAACTAAAAATATAGAGAGAAAAAATTAGCCGGGCATGGTGGCGCACGCCTGTAGTCCCAGCTACTCGGGAGGCTGAGGCAGGAGGATCACTTGAGTCCAGGAGTTGGAGGTTGCTGTGAGCTAGGCTGACACCACCGCACTCTAGCCTGGGCAACAGAGCGAGACTCTGTCTCAAAAAAAAAAAAAAAAGTGGACATATAGGAGTAACATTTATTGGATGTCGGGAGGGAGGGAGGAGGGAGGAGGGGATGGGTATATACAACCACAATGAGTAAGATGTGCAATGTTTGGGGAATGGACACGCTTGAAGCTCTTACTCGAGGGGGGAGGGGGGCATGGGCAATATAAGTAACCTTAACACTTGCACCCCCATAATACGCTAAAGTAAAAAAAAAATAAAATAAAATAAATTTTAAAAAGATAATGAGTAAAAGATGTGAACAGACTCTTCATCAGAGAGGACAGATGGTCAGGGAACACGCGCAGGAAAAGACGCTCAACCTCATCCGTGGTCACGAAATTCAAATTCGAACTGTGCCAAGAGGGGGCTCGGCACGCCTGTTTGACCTAGGAAGCACTAACGCTGAGCCTGGGGGGCGGGCGGGCGGGCGGCGGCGAGGTGCGGGGACGAGGCTCTGCATGGACGGTTACATGGACGCCAGCCACGGGACCAGGCCACCACCCCACTGCCAGAGGCGTGTGCGCGGAGTTGAGGCTTCTAGGAATGTGAACGCCCCACGTCCACCCCGGGCTCCCGTCCTAGTCCGGTGGGTGCTGTCCTCACCCCCCGTCACTCATGCTCCAGTCTTGGGGGGACTTAGGGTTAGAGGAACGTCTGTGCCCCCCTCCACCCAGGGCAGCCCCCGCCAGGCCCACGGGGGCCACTTCAGCCGAGGGGCCACTGCGGAGACCAGGGCCTGGCTGTGGGGGTGCCTTCCATGCAGCCTGGGCTTCTGCCCGTCCTGGGACCCCCGAAGCTGCCTCTGGAAGGGCGACCAGCAGCCACTGGTGCTCCGGGCCCTGCAGACTGTGTGCAGAGCCCCCAGACGGCCACCACCACGGCACTCCGCCTCGGGACAGCAGGTCTGGCCCGTGTCCCCCTGGTGTGAGTGGCTGGGGAGATCCCCCTGTCCCCTCACAGCCACGTAGACCTGGCCTCTGTGGGCCTGGGGGCTCCCGGGCTCTCCCCAGGCCCCGCCCAGCCAGCCCCGGACCCTCCCCACGGGGCCCCTTCCCTCGGCCCTGGACGGCCCTGCACGTGATTTCCGAGACTCCGGTCTGGCTGCGGCACCTGGGGCTTTTCTGGGGAAAAGCCAGATTCTCCGCAGGAGCTGCTGCGGCCCCGAGGCCGTCAAGCGTGCCCCCCACCGGCCATCAGAGCCCGCAAACTGTCCCCTCCGCGAGGCAGCCTGCCCAGGCTGGCGCCAGACCCACAGGGACACTTCCACCAGCCCCCGGCGTTCTGGCCCTCAGGCACTCCCGAGAACCCCCATGTCCTCCCCCGTGATGGGGAGGAGGATTCCTGGGGGAAGGAGGTCTTGTGCACCCAGCCCCCCCCTCAAGGCCAAACCGGGCCCCCCAACTGCCAGCTCCCAGGGTCCCACCTGCTGCAAAGCCCCCCAGCCAGCCCCGGGACGCAGCTCCAGCCCCTCCCCCCAGCTCCCTGCCTGGAGGCAAGAGGTGCCCAGGTAACCCAGCCGGGCAGCCCTGGGGGCCCAAACCCCGAGGCCCCAACAAGCTTATCTGTTTGCCTTTCACTCCACATCCGCTGGCAATCAGCTGCAGGGCCCGGGGCAGGGCAGTGGGGCCGGGCCCAGCCGGAGCTGGACGCTCTCAGGCCGTCACGGCCCGTGGCCTCGCCCTGCGGCTCCTTGGCTGGGGGCGGCCTTGGACGGGGGCCGAGAAGCTGGACGTTCCCCCAGGATATGGGGGTGGAGCCCGGCCTGCGGATCCTGCTCTGCCCCTCGGGCTGCTGGGGGCCGGAGCCGCCTCCCCCCCAAGCACCTGCCCGGAGCCGCCTGCGCCCAGGGCTGTCTGGGGAGCTTGCCCGGGGGGTCCCGGGGTGGCAAAAGGGGTGTGAGGGGGGAGTGTTTGGGGTGCTAGTCTGGAGTGACTGCTCAGCCCCCCCATGGGCTCAGAGGGGGCAGCCCTGGGGGGTCTGTCCTAGCTCAGCTCCCACCTGCTGGGCAGTGGCTGGGCCAGGCTTCTCCTGTGGGGTTTCTGGGTGGGAGTGAGTGTCCAGCCCCAGCCCACCCTGGCTCTGGGCGGCCCCCCAGGCTGAACTGCACCTGCCTCCCAGGCCCCCCACGGGGACAGTGGACACAAAGGACGGCAGGGCGCTGGCCAGGAGAGGGTGGGCTGCTCCAGAACAGGGTTCCTCCCAGCCAGGCAGAACCGGGCTCACTCTTCACCTTGCCCTGGGCCGCACCTGGACACCGGGGCCCAGAGGCCTTGGGGGGTGTCCTGCAGCCACGGCTGTCACATTCCGTCCAGTCCCAGCCACACGACGGGGCCGTGGGCAGCGCTCAGCACGGGGGTTGGGGGCCGAGTCCAGGGGGAGGGTGAGGGGCAGTGCCACCCCCAAACCCCGGCCCAGGGGCCAAGGCTGAAAGTGCAGACGGGTGGGGTCCCCAGGGAGTCCCCGGCCCTCTGAGCTCTGCTGGGCAGGGAACGAGGATGGCCTCACTGAGGAGGGGCCGGGCCCAGCGAGCCGGGACCACCAGCCACTGCCCCCCGGGGTCCATCTCCCCCTCCGGCCCTTCGCCCGGGACACACACATGTGCTGGCTCTGTTGTTGGCCCCAGAGCGCAGGCGGGGGCTGCAAAGGCCAGCGGAGAAGCAGGAGGTGACGGGGAGGTGACAGAGGCCAGAGGACCAGGGCCCCACGGGTGTGGAGGGGGGAACGTGGCCCCAGGGAGGGCAGTACAGGCCCCTGTGGACGGGGGACCAGGAGTGGCAGATTCACAGCAGCTCCGGAGGCAAAGTCAGCAGGGCCTGGGGCTGGGAGCAGTGCTCAGGCTGGCGCCACTGCAGCCACATGGGGCCTTGAGGAGGGCAGGCGCCCCTCACCCCAGGCCTGACGCCCCTTCGTGCTGTGTCTCCCAGGGAGGATTTCACTCCAGCCACTTGTGCCAGGGGTCTCGTGGTCCCCGCTGTGCCCCGCCAGGAGCAGGGGGTTCCAGGGCCTGGCAAAGGGGCCACCTCCAGCCCCTCTGTGGGAAGCCACGCAAGGCCCCCGTGGCCCTGCGTCCTGGCCCCGGCGGGGCCTGCCCCGAGGACGGGAGATGGCCGCTGTCCAGGCCTGGTGAGTTCCCACGCCCAGTGTCGAAATCGTCCCAGACACCCCCACAGCCAGCTGCAGCCCTTTGATCTGGTGCCACCGGCTGCCAAGCCTCGGGTGGTGAGGCCTCACCTGTTCTCCCCGGGGACGTCACCTGTGACCAAGGTGGGGCCCAGAGGCAGGGACGGGGAGGAGGCCACCCGGGGGCTACTCGGGCACCTCCGTGAGCGGAGTCCCAGCAAACCAGGGCCTTGGGGCTTCCTGCCGTGATGGGAGCCAGGCCTCGAGCCTGTTCCGGAACCTTCTGGAGGCGACTGCCGCGGGTGAATGCCAACGTCCCCACCGAGGCCCCCAACCCCAGGCGAAAGTCCACTCGTGGGGGTCCAGGCAGCCAGGCCTGAGGGCCGGCGCCCACCCTCACGCCGGCCAGGACCCATTCTGGCGTCTGGGCCCTGGGTGACCACAGTCCAGGGCCAGACCTGGCGGGCAGGGTCTGAGCCGGCGTGAGACTGGACAGCCGCTACGCTCGGCCCTCAGGTCCCGCTTTCCCTGGCCGGCCAGCGGGACGCGGCCTTATCGCCGCTGCTGCACCGGGACCGGTGGCCCCCCCGAGTTTATCTCCTGTGTGCGTGTGCGCTGCCAGGGCTCCCAGGTCGGGAACAAAACGCCATTCTCCCGTGCCTTCCCGCCAAGCACGCGCGCTGGGGGGTGGGGCGGGGCCAGCCGCAGGCGCAGCCCTGGCAGTGGGTCCTGGAAGGCACAGCTTTTTGCAGGAAATCCAAACCGGATCTCACACACACGCACACGTGAGCACACGCGTGTCTACTCACAGACGTGCACACACGCATGTTCACACAACGGGCTTCTCCACTGCAGGCCAGGGGGGCATCTAGTCCTCAGTTGGACCACGCCTGCACCCCTCAAACTCCACGGGTCCCCCGACTCTGGGGTGGCACCAGGCACCACACCCACAGCTGCTCTTGGGGGGTCTCCACCACTCCCAGCTGGGAAACTGAGGCCTGGGGCCCACCCCCGCCCCACAGTCGCGGTCACGGGACCCCTCGGGAGGACCCGAGCTCGAGCAGCACAGGCAGGGCCCCCGGTACCCCAGCAAAGCCCAGACGGTCAGACGAACCCGGCTGCCGGCCCCAAGACCCCTGCCCACCTCGGCCAGCGCTGAGGCCAAGCAAGGACCCATGCCGGCTCCAGCCCCTGGCGTGACTGGGCGGGGGCTTCCCTCCGACACCTCGGTCTCTCCCCCAGACAGCAAGGCCCGCCGAGCGCCAAAAGGAAAAGCAGAAACGGCCGGGGCACCCAGGGTGCCGCCTGCCCCGCAGCCTGCAGGCTCCCAGCGGGCAGCACACCTGGAGAAATGTTCTACCAAAACGAACAAAAGGCTCTTAATTCAAAACAATTTCCTATTAGAACTAAAACGTACTGAAGGCAAAGCACACGACACCAACCGAATCTGTCACAGGGGTCCCACGGAGGACCCCAGCTGCCTGCACCCCCACCGCCCTACCCTGGGCCCTCCAGGCGCCGGCTCGGCCCCACCAGTCGAGGCCCGCCTCCCCGCCACGGTGGCCCACACGAGCTCCATCCTGCCGCCGGCCGTGGGCGGCCACCCTGCTCATCTGCCTGAAGGGGGACGAGAATGGAGCCCCCACGTCCCTCCAGAGAGGCTCGAGGAGGCCGGTGGCCGATAGGGCCACTCGGAGCTGCGGGTGGGAGCAGCAGCCGGGGCGTCCTCCCACCCCCCACTCCCCGGCGGCCAGGATGAAGAGGACTTTGGGGGGACTTGGGGCCACAGAGACACGGCACACCCCCAGGCCTGTGGGGACCAGTGAGCACCTGCTGCCCCGGCCCCTCTGCTGGGGGGGGAGGGGTCCCTTCTGGGGGGTCCTTCCTTCCTCCCGGGCAGAGAACTGGGGGTGAAGTGGGCACTTCCGGGGGGCCCTGGAACCCAAGAGCTGTCCCCGCACTCTAGCTCCACAGCGGAGGGGTGGGGGCCCCAGCCCCAACCTGCCCGGGCAGGCCTGCCGTGGCCACCAAGGCGTGTGGCTGGCCCAGCGGTGGGGGAGGGGAGGCCGGGCAGGACAGGTGTTTGCAGACCCTCTTGGGCGTGTCGGCCCCCCCAGAACAGGTGATAATGGGGGCCGCGGCCGCTGCAGAACTTTCCACAGAGGTCCGCCTCCTGATAACGCAGAGGCCGAGATCCTGTTTGGCCTGGCCCGCCGGCAGCAGCGATTACAGGGCTGGTGCGTGGGGCGCGGGCGGGCGGGCGCGGCAGGGGCAGGGCCTGCCGCCCCTATTTAAGCCGCGCCGGGCCAGCCACCCCAGCTGCACTGGTGGCAGCGGCAAGACGGCCCAGGCCCAGCAGCGGGAGGGGCCGCGTCCTGCCGTGTCCCGCCGCACCTGCCTTCTCCACGCGGGTGGCACCATGCTTGCGCCCGGGCGGCGGCTGCTGCTGCTGCTGCTGTCCTGCGGGGGGGCCCTGCTCGGCGCTGGTGAGTGGGGCCCGCCAGGCCACACCCCAGGGCGGCCGGACCGCCCAGTGCCCTGCGAGGGCCCCTGCGTGTGGGAAAGTCTCCAGACTTCTCGCCTGGCCGCCCCGGCCGGCCCACGTGGGCGCCGGTGCAGGGGCGGTGGGAGGCAGGCGCCAGGCCTGGGAAGCCCATCGTCCTCGGCCCCGTGACCGGCTCACACGGACAAGGCCCGGGCCGCCCCGACCCCCCCGAGGAGCCAGCCCCAAGGGGTTCCGCAGGGTGGAGCTCGTCCCCTGGCTGGGCCACGGCTGCCACGTGCCCAGGCCTCGGCGCTCCCTTGTGCCTCACTCCTTCTGCCCTGAGTCCTGGGTACCCCCCTGCCTCCCACACCTGGCGTGAGTGGCAGGTGGGAAGGGTGGGGTCCCCAGACGCAGCCTGGGGGGGCAGGCAGAGCCGGAGCTCGGGGCCCAGGCCGTGATTGGCGGGAGGAGCCCCCAGCAGGGCTTCACTGAGCAGGGCTGGCAGGGGTTGCTGGGGCTGCCACGTGTGGGGCAGGAACAGCGAGGGCACCAGCTGCCCCGCGGCCCACAGTGGCTGGGGTGTGGACAAACCCACCCCAGAGGCCCATGGGCCGGGCCAAGGGTCAGTCAAGAGCAAGCACGGCCGGTCCCGGGCGCGAGAGGCAGCAGCGTGGTCGGCCTCCACTTGGGGGTCCTTGTTCAGACACAGCCGGAGGCAGCCGGACTCACGCGTCTGGCCCCAGAGGATGAGGAGGGACTCGGGGGACAGGGCCCCTGCTGGGGTGCTGTGACAGCTCTTGGGGACGGTGGAGCCGGACACAAAGGCCTGGAGTCAGAGAGGCAACGTGGCCTGCGGTGTCCACACCACCCCATCTGAAAGGGGGGAAACTGAGTCACAGAGGGTCTGCCCTGAGGGAGACTGGCCAGTGCCCAGACACGGCACCCAGACCCAGGAGCCAGGAGGCCCCATCGAGAGCTCTGCGTGCCGGCACTGCCACAGGGCCACTGACCCCACTGGACCAGCCCCACCAGGAAGGCCTGTGGCTGGAACCCTGGGGGGGGGGATGGGTATAAGCCGGGTGCAGCTGAGCAGAAAGCGATCTTAAGGTCAAAGGGGACCACACCAAAATGTGTCCTCACTTGGCCATGGCCACCAGGCTTGGTAATCCCAGTCACTGGAGCACCACGAGCTCCTGCCCCTGCCAGAGAGGACCTGCCCAGGGGGACGGGGGGCCTGCAGCAGCCCGACCCCTCAGCCAACAGGCCCACAGCCAGCGGGATGTGGGCAGGAATGAGCCCCTCCCAGTGTGTCTTTTTTTTTTTTTTTTTTTTTTGCAACAGAGTCTCACTCTTGCCCAGGCTAAAGTGAGTGCCGTGGCGTCAGCCTAGCTCACAGCAACCTCAAACTCATGGGCTCAAGCAATCCTTTGCCTCAGCCTCCCAAGTAGCTGGGACTACAGGCATGCGCCACCATGCCCGGCTAACTTTTTCTATATATATGAGTTGGCCAATTAATTTATTTCTATTTTTATAGTAGAGACGGGGTCTCGCTCTTGCTCAGGCTGGTTTTGAACTCCTGACCTCGAGCGATCCGCCCGTCTGGGCCTCCCAGAGTGCCAGGATTACAGGCCTGAGCCACCACGCCTGGCCTCCGAGTGTGTCTTGTGGGGCACACCATGCACAGCCGGCAAGAGGGTCAAGGCCCAAGAGGGGTCTGGAGAGACCACGGGTCCTGGTCACCAGCCCCCCAGCGCTGGGCAAGGTGGCTCATGGGTGCTGCAGGGGACAGTGGTCGGGGTGGGGAGATGGGAGAGGTGGGGTGAGGAGGGGGCAGTGCCTGGCAGTCGTCACGACCCAGGCCACCCAGCCCATCCCTGGAATGGTCACCACGTCCCGGGCTGACCCCAGGGCTCTCTCAAGGTTGCCAGGCAGGAAAGGAGTGGACAGTGGCCATGGGGAAACTGGGTGGCCCCACAGGGGACAGAGGGCAACCAGGGCCTGTGGCTCAGCCCTCGACCCACTCGTGCCTACACCCCCCAGCACCCCTGTCTGGCCACAGGCTGAGTGTCCTGCACTTGGGGTTCTCTTTGTTGAACCCTGGAGACCTGGCCCGTCCAGAGAGGAGGGGCGACCAGAGCCCGGCAAATGGGCAAGCAGGCTGGAGCCAGGGAGCCAGCATGCCCAGCACCGGCCACACGCCAGCCTCTGCCTCCGGGGTCCCTCAGCTGGGCCCCCCTTGCCTGCCTGGGTGGCGGCCGGAGAGCCCCCTGCCTCCCCCAGGCCCTGCCCAAAGGCCCCCCTGCTCCTCGGCACAGCCCCAGCCTGTGCGAGGTGGCAGCCTGCCCACCGCGTGGGCGCCCACCGCCGGCGTGTGCCACGAGCACTTGGCCTTCCTGGCGTGGGCCCTGGGAGCAGGTCCTTCCCCGTGTGCCTCCGCACCTGGCTGGGTGACAGGCACAGGAGCAGACACACGCAGACACACGGACCGTGCTTGAATGAACCAGGGCCTGAATGAGAACAGAGAAAGCCACCAGAGCTCGTGAAAAGCGGCACGAGAGGCCCGGCCACTCTGCCCGCCACCACCGCCCCGGGCTCAGAGCTCGGCACCGCCGCGCACGGTTCTCCCCGGGCAGGGCTCCGAGGGCCGGTGGCGCCGCCAGAGACGACTGACCACGATCCCACCCACACAGGGCTGGACGGCGCCTCTTCCACCAGCCCGGGCCCCTGGAGGCTGGAGGACTCTCCGCAGATAGGTGAGGGCTGCCACCAGCCGCCTGTCCGAGTACCCGGGCCCGGTGTGCGCCGGGGAGGGGGCCAGGTCCCAGGCACACACATGCACACGACACGCACACACACATGCACACGCGTGTGCACGATTGCCTTGGTGTCTGTGCTCTTGGGTTTCCATGAGAGGGGTCCGGCTAGGGAAGAGCCACAGCCCGGCCGCTGCCCAGGGTGACACGTGACCTCTGGCCTGGCCCAGCTGCTCTGCAAGAGGGCGCAGGACCCCGCTGGGGTGGGGGAGGCAGGGCCAGAGCATCACATCCCGCAGCCCTGGGGCCGGTGACGCCACAGCCTCCACGGGCCCACCCCGCCCTAAGCGCCAGGCAGGGGGCGGACCCCAGCCCGGAGCCGGAGGGCGTGGGGGCCGGGCCTCTCCCAGCACCAGCCCCGGGTCCCAGCCCGCCTGCCGGTCAGCGGGGACAGGGTCCTGAGTCTGCGCCGCTCTCCGCAGACCCCGACAAGGGCTGGTGCTCCACGTGGGGCGCCGGCCACTTCTCCACCTTCGACCACCACGCCTATGACTTCTGGGGGACCTGCAACCACGTCTTCGCGGCCACCTGCAAGGACGGCGCCCCCACCTTCAGCGTCCAGCTGCGGCGGGGGCCAGACGGGAACATCTCCCGGGTCATCGTGGAGCTGGGGACGTCTGTGGTCACCATGAGCGGGACGACCGTCTCGGTCAAGGACGTCGGGTAGGCCGGCGGGCACGGGTGGTGGGGAGGCGGGCGGTGGGGCAGCGCGGGTGGTGGCTGGTGGCGGGTGGGCGGCAGGCAGTGGGGCGGTGGGCAGTGGGGCAGCGAGGGTGGTGGCTGGTGGGGCGGTGGGCGGCAGGCAGTCGGGCGGTGGGGCAGCACTGGGCAGTGGCCGGCGGGGGGTGGGGCGGTGGGGCGGCAGCCAGCAGGCAGTGGGGCGGTGGGCGGTGGGGCAGTGTGGACGGTGGCCGGCGGGCAGCATGGGCCGCCACTCCCCGCACTCACCCTCGCCCGCAGAGCCGTCAGCCTGCCCTACACCAGCCACGGGCTGCAGGTCACGCCCTTCGGCCGGAGTGTGCGGCTGGTGGTCAAGCAGCTGGAGCTGGAGCTGGAGGTCCTGTGGGGCCCCGGCGCCCACCTCATGGTGAGGACGCCCGCATGGGGCGGGCGGGCGGGCGGGCAGGCAGGCTGCAGGGGGGCTGCCCTCCCTGGGGGCCCGCCTGCCCTCGGCCATGCCGGGGACTCAGCTCTGCACCTGCAGATGCGCCAGGCAGCGCAGGTTGCCAGGGAGGGTGGTGGGCGGTGGGTGCCCCAGGCCCCGCAGCCCCAGTGAGGGGGGGGCGTGGGGGACCCCCAGCAGCGAGCCCCTCCGCGCAGGTCCTGGTGGAGAGGAAGCACGGCGGCCGGCTGTGTGGGCTGTGCGGGGACTTCGACGGGAACGCGACCAACGAGTTCCTGAGCGAGGAGGAGGGTAGGCAGGGCGGCGGCGGGCGGGGGGCACAGGGCCCGCTGTGGCCAGGCTCCCCACCCCCCGGCACTGCCCAGCCCCGTCCTGTGCCCCCCAGGAAAACTCCTGGAACCCCATGAGTTCGCCGCGCTGCAGAAGCTGGACGACCCCAACGAGATCTGCGCCTACGAGGCCGTGGCCAGGCCCCCCATCCCGCAGGCCGAGCACGTACGTGAGGGGGCCGGGCTGCCCAGGGGCCGACTGACGGGTCCCACCCCGACCGGGTCTCTGAGGCCAGCAGGGCCCCAGGACCACAGACGCCCGCGACGAGTCACGCACGGCACGTGGTGTCCTGACTCCGTGACCCCGACCGGTCCTCTGCCAGGCCCGGACCTGCAGCCGCCTGTTGGCCCTGGTGTCCCCCGAGTGCACCGTGCCCAGGGAGCCCTTCGTGCGGAGCTGCCAGGCGGACATGGCCACCGCCGCCCGGCCGGGCCAGAACAGCAGCTGCGCCACGCTGTCCGAGTACTCACGCCGCTGCAGCATGGCCGGCCAGCCCGTCAGCAACTGGCGGGGCCCTGGCCTCTGCTGTGAGTCTTGGGACAGGACGGGGAGGGTGTGGAGACGCGGGGGGGGGCCCCTCCCCCGAAAGCAGCGCCCGAAGAGACAGGAGGCCCGGCGCCTGCGCGGGGCAGAGGGGCCGGCCGGGCCGCTCTCACGGGAGCCGCCTGTGCCCGCAGCCCTCGGCCCGTGCCCGGCCACCCAGGTGTACCGAGAGTGCGGCGCGGCCTGCGCCAGGACCTGCTCCAACCCGCAGCACCGCTGCTCCGGCTTCTGCGCCTTCGGCTGCTTCTGCCCGAAAGGTGAGGCGGCCGCAACCCCCGGCCCCACCGGCTCGCCTGGGACCCCGCCGCCACCTGGCCCCACCCACACGCCAGAGCCTGTGCCAGGCGCGAGACCCCACGGGAGCGTGACGCGCTGCCCACGGGGGTCCCGGCGCCGCCAGAAAGAGGCGGGTTTCGGGCTGGGCCTGAGGGACAGTGAGGCGTCCACGGCGCCCTCGGGGGCTGCCACGCACCGACAGCAGCGTCGTAGCAGCCGCACACGCGAGCGGGCAGTGCAGTGAGCAGTCACGCCAAGGCAGGCGCAGGGGGGCGTCTCCCAGAGCAGGGAGGCGGGGCCGCCCGGGAGCCCAGTCCCACCGAGGCCCAGGAAGCCCCCCTCCCCCACAGGCACGGTGCTTAACGACCTCTCCCAAAACCACACCTGCGTGCCCGTGGCTCAGTGCCCCTGCGTGCTCAACGGGGCCCTGTACGCCCCCGGGGAGGTCAGCGCCACCCCCTGCAGAACCTGGTGAGTGAGTGGGGGGGCCCTGCAGGCAGGAGCGCGGTGGGGGAGGGACGCCCCGGCAGCCCCGCCCACCCCCGGGGTCACCCCCTCCCCGCAGCCGCTGCACCTCGGGCCGCTGGACCTGCGTGGAGCAGCCGTGCCCCGGCCACTGCTCCCTGGAAGGCGGCTCCTTCGTCACCACGTTCGACGCCAGGCCCTACCGCTTCCACGGCACCTGCACCTACATCCTGCTCCAGGTGGGCTGAGCTCCGAGGCCGGCGGGGAGGGGGACCCTCGCCCCTTCGCGCCTGAGCGGCCCCTCCCTCCCCAGAGCCCCCAGCTCCCCGACGGGGGCACCCTCCTGGCCGTGTACGACAAGTCCGGGCACTCGCACTCGGAGACCTCGCTGGCCGCTGTCATCTACCTGTCCGGACAGGTGAGTCTCCCGCCAGCAGGGCCCCACCGCCTCCACCCCAGGCCTCTTGACTCAGCTAGCCTCCCTCTTCCAGGACAAAATTGTGATCTCTCAGGACGAGCTGATCACCAACCACGGAGACGCCAAGTGGCTGCCCTACAAGACCGGTACGTCCCCGGCCGGCCCTCGGGTGGGCAGCGGCGGGGTGCGGGGTGCAGGGGCAGGCGGCCTGCTGAGAGCTCTGTCCACGCAGGCAACATCACCGTCTTCAGGCAGACCTCCACCCACCTCCAGGTGGCCACCACCTTCGGGCTGGAGCTCGTGGTCCAGCTGCAGCCCATCTTCCAGGTGTACGTCACCGTTGGGCCTCAATTCCGAGGCCAGACCAGAGGTGAGCCCCGGCCCCGCCCCGCCCCACCCATCAGCCCCAGGCTGGGCCGGGCCACGACCAGGGCAGGAAGAAGGGCCCAGGAGAGGCTCGCGTGGACCCTCCGTGTCCGGGGAGCCCCCGGGGATAAGATGTGGGGCGTGTGGGCCTGGCGAGGTGGTGGCTCAAGTCTGTAATCCCAGCACTCTGGGAGGCCAAGGCGGGAGGATGATTTGAGCTCAAAAGTTGGAGACCAGGCCGGGCGTGGTGGCTCACGCCTGTAATCCTAGCACTTTGGGAGGCCGAGGCGGCGGATTGCTCAAGGCAGGAGTGCGAAACCAGCCTGAGCGAGACCCCGTCTCTACCAAAAATAGAAACAAATTAATTGACCAACTAAAAATATATAGAGAAAAAATTAGCCGGGCATGGTGGCGCATGCCTGTAGTCCCAGCTACTCGGGAGGCTGAGGCAGTAGGATCGCTGAGCCCGGGAGATTGAGGTTGCTGTGAGCCAGGCTGACGCCACGGCACTCACTCTAGCCTGGGCAACAAAGTGAGACTCTGTCTCAAAAAAAAAAAAAAAAAAAAAAAAAGTTGGGAGACCAGCCTGAGCAAGAGCGAGACCCCAGTCTCTACTAAAAATAGAAATTAATTGGCCAACTAAAAATACGTAAAAAAATTAGCCAGGCATGGTGGCTCATGCCTGTAGTCCCAGCTACTCGGGAAGCTAAGGCAGGAGAATCCCTTGAGCCCAGGAGTTGGAGGTTGCTGTGAGCTAGGCTGATGCCACACAGTACTGTAGCCCGGGCACCAGAATGAGACTCTGCTAAAAAAAAAAATATAGTATATATATATATAATATATATGTGTGATGATTGAGGCCTGAGAGAGGATGGGAGCTGCGGGGCAGGTGGGCCTGGGCTGCCCTCACAGCCCTGCTGGCCCAGGGCTCTGCGGCAACTTCAACGGGGACACGACTGACGACTTCACGTCCAGCGTGGGCATCGCCGAGGGCACCGCCTCGCTCTTCGTGGACTCCTGGCGGGCGGGGAACTGCCCGGCCGCGCTGGAGCGCGAGACTGACCCCTGCTCCATGAGCCAGCTCAACAGTGAGTGCCAGGCCCCAGCAGGGGCGCGGGGAAGCCCGGGAGGGGTGCGGCCGATGTGGGAAGGGACGCCGACGGCCGGACTCTCATCCCCAGAGGTGTGTGCGGAGACCCACTGCTCAGTGCTGCTGAAGAAGGGCACGGTGTTCGAGAGGTGCCACGCCCTGGTGAACCCCACGCCCTTCTACAAGGTGGGGCCCACGCGGGTCTGGGGAGGGCCGGGCTTGGCGCCGACACGTCTCGGGCACCCGAGGACGCCCGGGTCCGGGCGGAAGGTTCCGGGCTCCCGTGCCCCTGGGCGGGCCCACAGCCAGTGCTCTGCCGCAGAGGTGCGTGTACCAGGCCTGCAACTACGAGGACACCTTCCCCCACATCTGCGCCACTCTGGGCAGCTACGCCCACGCGTGTTCCTCGAGGGGCGTCCTTCTCCAGGGCTGGAGGAGCAGCGTGGACAACTGCAGTGAGTGCCGGCGGGGCGTAGGCAGGGTCACGGGGTCACAGGGGCCCGGGGCCCCGAGCTCGGCGGCTGTCCCGCTGCCTGGTGGGCGCTGCGGCCACTGCCTGGTCCCCCCTCCCTCGCCGTGGCCTGACCCCCGGGTCCCCCACAGCTGTCCCTTGCTCGGGCAACCGCACGTTCAGCTACGACAGCCGGGCCTGCGGCCGCACCTGCCTGTCACTGTCAGACCACGCAGCCGAGTGCCACGCCAGCGCGGTGCCCGTGGACGGCTGCAACTGCCCCGAGGGCACCTACCTGGACCACAGGGGCGAGTGTGTGCGCAAGGCCCAGTGCCCCTGCCTGGAGAGCGGCAAGCTGGTCCTGGCCGAGCAGTCCACCGTGGTCAACGGCGCCGTCTGGTGAGGCCGGGCGAGGGGGCCGGGGAGGGGGCGGGCGAGGGGCCCTGCCAGGGGCCGGGGCTCACGCGGCCTCTCTCTTGCAGCCACTGCGTGAACGGGCGGCTGAGCTGCCCTGCGCGGGCCCAGCTGTTCTCGGGTAGGTACAGCAGCTGCACGGACAGGCGGACCCCGGACCACGGAGTGCCCGTGGCCGCCTCTGGGCCGTCCTGACGCTCGGCCCCCCGCTTCCCGCAGTTGCCTGCCCGGCCCCCAAGACGTTCAAGTCCTGCAACCAGTCCTCGGAGAACGAGTTCGGGGCGGCGTGCGCCCCCACGTGCCAGATGCTGGCCACTGGCATCGCCTGCGTAAGGGGACACGCCCGGGCCCGCTCGCCGGGCCACACCACCCTCTGGGAGCCACGGCAGGGCGGTGCCCTGGGGCTGTGCCTGGTGGGCGCCGGGTCAGGAGCCGGGCAGCAGGCGGCTGCATGTCGTCCCTGAGGACGGGGCGGGGAGGGCTCTGGTGAGGGAGATGCCGGCTGCCAAGGAGACGCCGGCTGCCAAGGAGACGCGCAGGGCCGGGGGAGGGGGAGACGCCGGGGTCTCGGAAGGGCCCAGGGCTGGGGAAGCGGCAGCTGAGGCCGCCCTCCCTCCAGGTGCCCACCAAGTGTGAGCCCGGCTGCGTCTGCGCCAAGGGCCTCTACGAGGACGCGGACGGGCAGTGCGTGCCCCCCGAGGAGTGCCCCTGCGAGTTCGCGGGCGTCTCCTACCCCGGGGGCACCGAGCTCCACGCGGACTGCAGGACCTGGTGAGGCTTTCTGGAGCCCCGGAGCCGCCTGTGGGCCATCTGGGCAGGCAGGGCACCTCAAAGTCTGGAAGTGGGGGTGCCCTAAAGTGGGGCACCCTAGAGATGTGGTGCCCTGGAGGTGGGGGTGCCCTGAAGCTGGGGTGCCCTGCAGGTGGGGTTCCATAGAGGTGGGGTGCCCTGGAAGTGGGGTGCCCTG